ACATCGCTTTGTGTGTCAGATGTAGATGTTTCTGGACGCGAAAGATTATCTGGGGGGGTTGGATCAGTCCTAGGTTTTTTTGTGCGAATGGATCTAATTTCTAATTCGTTCACAATACCAAAAATGCGAGCTTTTGCTTCTGCTATTAATTCCGGTTCAAAAGTATTTACAATAATTGCCATGCTTTTGAAAAATAATAATACCAGATCCTGATCTGCAGCATCCGATTTAGAGCTTTTTATATTTTCCATTATCTTTTCTCTATCCGCGGATCTTTGCTTTAATATTTCCAATATTTGTGTATTGTCATCCCTCCTTCTCTTCCCAGTCGTCGAAGAGGGTGTTTTCTGTGACTTAGAATAAGTTATTTGTGTATCATGGAGTGCAGATGTGATGCCTGTAGGCGGGTTAGAGGGAATATTATTTTCAGATTCTGAGATGTCTTCTGGCACATCAGAATCAAAAGTAGTTTCTTGCGATTGCAAATTACTTTGAGTACTGTAAACAAAAACGGTATATATTACTTTTAGTATGTAAAATAGACACACAGCCTTACCTTCTTTGGTAAGGCGTATTGTCCATAAAAGACATTTGTGATAATAATGGCCACTTAGATTTAGGTGTTGCAGCTGAACCAGTAGGATTAGTAGTACGCCTTATTTTCATATATGTGTCCTTAATATTCCGCCATCTTTTCTTGCAATCTTCAGCTGAAACATTTTTTTCTATTTTAGATTCCTAGCTACCGGAGAAACATTTAGATCATTAGCTTTTGCTTTTCGGATATCATATGGATACATCAGTATTATTGTAAGGGAAGTACTTGAAGCATTACGTAATGCTTTAGTACCTTTGTTCTTGCCACAGCCAGCTATGCCTGATCTCGAAATAATTGCTGATAAATTTTACACCCGATGGAACTTCCCCAATTGCATTGGCGCAATTGATGGGAAACACATTAGGATATTATGCCCGAAGAACAGTGGATCAAACTTTTGGAACTATAAGAACTACTTTTCCATAGTATTATTAGCACTTGTTGATCCTAATTACAAATTTATTATTATAGATGTCGGATCTTATGGTAAAGAAGGCGACAGTAGCATTTTTGAAAAATCAATTATGGGTAGTCAAATTCGGTCTGGACGATTCACTTTTCCACGTGAAAAGGTTTTACCTGGATCAGATATTGTTTTGCCACACGTTATTGTCGGTGACGAAGCATTTCGTCTNTACCCTCTGCTGGTGATCCCAGTCATATTCATCTCCATGATTTAATAACCTGGAGCCTGGAAAGTGAGTATTTAGAAGTAATTCCAATGTCTCCCTTCCAGTTTTAGTATATTCCCCACTCGGTGCTTTAAGAGACCCGAGTTTCGTATTTCCATTCTTAGAGAGAAGTCTCTGGAGTTTAGCACACTGTGGGACACTGTCAATATCCTCACAGAACTTCCTCCATGAGTCTCTCTTCGCTTTCCTAATTTGTTTATTATACTCAGTGAGGGTTGCTCTATAAGCCTCCCACTCTCCTGTCCGCTTTGCTCTATTGAATAGTTTTCTTGTCTGTCCCCTCAACTGTGTGAGTTCCTTGCTCCACCAGGGTACGGTGTGCTTGTCGGACCTCACTTTGATAGGACAGCTATATTCATATGATCTTGTGACGGCGTTTTGGAGTTCCTCCACAGCCCTCTCAAGATCATATGTGTTCCTTAGTTTTGTACAGATTTCCCTAGTCCTGACCTGTAACTCCGTTCTATAGGAGTCCCAGTCAGTTCTTTTTGGGTCTCTGTAGGTTCTTACTTGCGGATTTCATAATATGTATCTATTTTATCTTGTAATTTTAAAGGAATATTACAAATGAGACGTAAATTAATTATGTACCTAATAAAAGAGACAGAGATTATACTTGTTCCTTGCGAGCTTTAACTATGAATGTTGAATCTCTGAGAAAAATATTAATGGTACCAAACAAAAAGTTAATAAATTGTTCTCTTCATAGAGCACTTTCAGTTATCCCAGAGTGCACTGCCTAAAATGAAACACTAATTATTACCAGCATGTAGAACAAACCTAGCATGGAAAAAGAGCTTCATAGAAGGGACGAAACTGACACAACAAGTGATTATAGAAATAGAGTTTTGTCATGGTCTTTCAAGACTAGGTTGCACCCACCTGGAACTACAAGAAATATATCCTAAGGAGAGAAGATCTGGGTATAGTTATTTGGCATGACCGTAAAAAGAGACAGTAACCTCTCTGCTGTAATACATCAGACAAACTATAAATACTATGAGCTATTAAAAGCGAGAAGAGAAGAATATTCGGATTCAGCGATCACAAAAACTTGTACATGTTTCTGTACCGATTTTTCTGATCATTTATTCCTGGTTTGACCTTGAAATGATCTCTAGGTGACCTTGCAAAGTCATGCGAGACCCATATTCGGATTCAGCGACCCCAAAAACCCTAGTATACCTCATCAAGTCTGGTAATGGAATGTTGGTCTGCAAATAATTACTCAGACTTACTGAGTCATCTCTCCTAAAAGACCTACTTTGAGGCCCAATATCTCGGAAACTATGCATAACCGGTCTTTGGGCCCCATTGAGACTTTTGATCAGAATGCTAAAAACTATAACTGCAAAATTTCAGCCAGTTCGACCGGGATTTTTTTCCATATATTTTGTGCCGGGTCCTTTGTAAAAATATAGGGTGTACCAATTAAAAAAATATATGTTACGACTATATTTCAATAATATAATCTTCAATTATTTGTGTGAGATTAGTATAAAAAAATGATGATGACATCGTAAAGAGTTAGAATATAACCGCTGATTTCTTTTGATCGCAATTCTGCAATCATGATTAAGTATTGAACTGGTTATGTGTATTCTGACATTAATTTCGAATCATAAACTAAAAACAACAGCTACTTTTTGTCAAAAGATCTACATTTAAAAGTTAAAATTGAAATTTCAGTAATTTCGCTTAATTTGTTTTTGTTCCATTAATGTCTATTTTTAAATTAACAAGGTAAAATGTTTTATTTATGATGCATGTACAGCAATTTGTTTATAATGTAACACTTACCTACATTGTTTTTTGTAGAAAATTTTATTACAAAAGTTTCAGGATTTTTCATATTTCACATTACCTGAAAAATGTAATGTAGTAAGATCCATCATAATAAGCACCTCAATAGAATTCACTTCATCTTCTGTCACTCCAGTAGAACTAGCACCGCATTCTCACAAGAACAAACTATCTGAAAAAACATATTCCATATTAATATGTATAATTTTGGAAATTTAGAAGAAATCTTGGAATAATCGAAACGCATAATTTACAGATGTCCATCAACTGTTTTGATGTTGCAAAATAGTTGTTAAACTAAATTACACTATTCTGTTATTCTAAGAATTCGTCTAAATTTCCAATATAGCTTATTCAAATACATTTAATAAAAGCTTTATAAATGCTATGTTTTTCAAGCAAATCTAAATTTCCTCTGATAGGTTTTTTTTTAATAATTTTTAAATTTCAAATTTCATAAAAGAAAGTTTGTACAATAAATCATCTAATTGGATGACAAAATATTTACAAAAACTCTACTAAACATGATATCTAAATTATACAGGGTGTTCTACAAGCTCTATGACAAACTTTGACAGATGGTAGCTGGGATAATTTCAAACATATTTCAAAGTAACCTGATAAATAAAAATGATGGTTGCTATAACAATAATTATTGTTTGTGTATTTTGTTTATTCATTTGACACTTGTGTTAAAGTGCTAAATAAAAAATGCATTTATTTACAACTGTAGAGTATGCAGATACTGTCTTTGTATATGGGTATAACAATACCGACGGAGATACCCAAATAGGTGTCAACCTGCCTACGACTTTAATAAGAAGGTAACTCCGCTCCAAAAAAGGCCACTCGTCCTACTAAAGTAAATGTACAAAATGACAACTCTTCAATTAATGTTCGGTAAATAGCAAGTAATCTTCATTTATCACCTGATTTTGTATGGTGTGTATTGAACAGAGAAATGTTACATCCATTTCATCGCCAAAATGTACAAGCGTTATACATGCTGGAGATGCTCCTCAGGGATTAGAATTTTGTTGCTGGTTACTTCAACAACATGCACAAAATGATAAATTCATTTCTCTTGTCTGTGGTCTGATGCAACGTGTTTTACAGGGACAGTATAAATAATAATCGTAATGAACATATCTGGACGTTACAAAATCCGCATGCAATTAGATCAAGACAATTTCAGCAATGTTTCAGTGTCAACGTTTGGGGTAGCATTTTCAACAATAATTTACTGCCTGTACATGTTTTAAATTATCGTTTCCATGTTGATCTATATAGAACTTTCTTGGAAAACAAAAACCTTTTTGATTTCATTGATGACGTAGGCTTAATATTGTTCAAAATATATGGTATCAACACGATGGTGCACCACCACATAGAAGGAGACGAATAACTGCTTGGTTAATTGATCATTTCCTGACAAGGTCAACAAGTTCCAATAGCATGGCCACCACGTTTCCCAGATCTAAATCCTTTGCACTTTTATTTATGGGGACATATGAAGCAGCTTATTGAAATCACTGCTTGTCAGCAAATGCCTGAAAGAATTCAGGATGCAGCTAACCAGATAAGAAATGATCCAAGTCTCATCCGTCCAGTGATGGAATCTTTAGTTCACCGATCTGAGGCTTGCATTCAAGCCGAGGCTGGACATTTTGAACAATTTTTATAGTCTTAAGATTTGTTAATTAGGTTAAATAAAAGTTAACTAATGTTTAAACTTTAATCACATAATAATTATTGTTATATCAACCCTTATTTTTATTTATCAGGCTACTTTGAAATGTGAAATTGTATTTTTTTTAAATGCTTGTAACTTCTAAACAAAAACGAATTGGACCTATGTTCAGCCTGTAGGCCGCCCTTAATATATTTATTTATTTTTTTTTTTGTAGAAAAATTATATAAGTATGTTACCGTCATGGTTTGTGTTGCTGTTAAAGGCAAACCAATTATAGGTGTAATACATAAACCTTTCGATAAGAGCACTTCATGGGCCTGGGTAAATACAAGTAAATCAAAGGATTTATATGGACAGGTAAATTCCATTTTTTTTATTTTTTAACAATTGACATCGAATTGGTGTATATACAGGGTGAATTCACAACTTATCCAAAAAAATTTGGGAATAGATGAGGAATGAAAAATGGAGTCAATATCGTAAAAAAATTTTTATAAAATCCTTATAGTTTCCAAGAAAAAAAATTATTGAGGTTGTAGTACTTTCAACCATTACATGGCTGGACAACTGTAGTCTTTAGCATCATTCATAATACGCGTGGAGAGCCACGTGGACTCCGAATACTGAAATCCGATTTTACAGTCCTCGTTACCATAGTGTTTACAATAGTTTTTTAGTAGTTAGCGTCAAAAATGGCTTGCGTGTATAGCAACTTGGAGTTGATGGATATCGTTTTAATTTATACTGAAGCAAGAAAACATTTGTATTATGGTGAAGCATTTGTGTTATGGTGAAACAAGACAGTATTTGTGTTAGTTCGTAGAAACTGAGTAATGGTGGAATTTCCTTGCAGCGTCTGTGATTGCGATTGACGCATGCGACTAGACGCATGCGTCTGAACGCCACGATTATAATTTCAGATGTTTTCCAACATGCAGTCAACATGTACGTCACGTCATCACTCGTCACACGTCAGTATACATCGCGATTCATGGGGAATAGGTACGTACCTATTGGAAATGAGTAAATTGCTGTCATTCTTAGTTTTAGAAGAGCACGATGATGATGATATGTTGTTATTATTAATGTCAAGAAAAAAGAGAAATATGATAAGAAATTTATATAAAGAACGACGCAGTGAAGGTTTTTCAAAGGTGCTTGTTACAAATCATCTACTCAATGATGATGAAACATTTAAGCAGTTTTTTCGTTTGAGCAAGACACAGTACAACTTTGTTCTTGAACTTATTGCTGCCAGCATTACGAAAACTTCATGTAATAGAGTAACTTACCCAATTACAGCAGAAGAAAAACTTAGTTTAACTTTAAGGTAATTTATTTATCTCTTTTATTTTATAATGCAAGAAATCGGCAATTATCGGTTATATTAAAGTTGAGTAAGTTCACCGTCAGTAAGAGGAGAGAAGTATGAGTAATATGTTCCTACATCGCTTTGTGTGTCAGATGTAGATGTTTCTGTACGCGAAAGATTATCTGGGGGGATTGGATCAGTCCTAGGTTTTTTTGTGCGAATGGATCTAATTTCTAATTCGTTCACAATACCAAAAATACGAGCTTTTGCTTCTGCTATTAATTCCGGTTCAAAAGTATTTACAGTAATTGCCATGCTTTTGAAAAATAATAATACCGGATCCTGATCTGCAGCATTCGATTTAGAGCTTTTAATATTTTCCATTATCTTTTCTCTATCCGCGGATCTTTGCTTTAATATTTCCAATATTTGTGTATTGTCATCCCTCCTTCTCTTCCCAGTCGTCGAAGAGGGTGTTTTCTGTGACTTAGAATAAGTTGTTTGTGTATCATGGAGTGCAGATGTGATGCCTGTAGGCGGGTTAGAGGAAATATTATTTTCAGATTCTGAGATGTCTTCTGGCACATCAGAATCAAGGGTAGTTTCTTGCGATTGCAAATTACTTTGAGTACTGTAAACAAAAACGGTATATATTACTTTTAGTATGTAAAATAGACACACAGCCTTACCTTCTTTGGTAAGGCGTATTGTCCATAAAAGACATTTGTGATAATAATGGCCACTTAGATTTAGGTGTTGCAGCTGAACCAGTAGGATTAGTAGTACGCCTTATTTTCATATATGTGTCCTTAATATTCCGCCATCTTTTCTTGCAATCTTCAGCTAAAACATTTTTTTCTATTTTAGATTCCTAGCTACCGGAGAAACATTTAGATCATTAGCTTTTGCTTTTCGGATATCATATGGATACATCAGTATTATTGTAAGGGAAGTACTTGAAGCATTACGTAATGCTTTAGTACCTTTGTTCTTGCCACAGCCAACTATGCCTGATCTCGAAACAATTGCTGATAAATTTTACACCCGATGGAACTTCCCCAATTGCATTGGCGCAATTGATGGGAAACACATTAGGATATTATGCCCGAAGAACAGTGGATCAAACTTTTGGAACTATAAGAATTACTTTTCCATAGTATTATTAGCACTTGTTGATCCTAATTACAAATTTATTATTATAGATGTCGGATCTTATGGTAAAGAAGGCGACAGTAGCATTTTTGAAAAATCAATTATGGGTAGTCAAATTCGGTCTGGACGATTCACTTTTCCACGTGAAAAGGTTTTACCTGGATCAGATATTGTTTTGCCACACGTTATTGTCGGTGACGAAGCATTTCGTCTTGATAACCATATGATGAAACCATACCCGAAAAACCAGATGATACAAGACAATACAAAAGCAATATTTAATTACCGATTGTGTCGAGCAAGACGAGTGTCCGAAAATGCTTTTGCTCTACTCTCCCAAAAATTTAGAATATTTTATTCACCTATTGCAGTTTTACCCGAAACTACGGACTTGATAGTTACTGTTACATGCTGTTTTCACAATATGCTACGTGACGAACACTTACGGAATAGTACGAAAACATGTCAATACGGTGCTCTTAACAATGATACACCTGTAAATAATATGTTACCTCTGGCAAGGGGAGGAGGATTTGCCAATATTGAAGGCTTCCAAATTAGGGATCAGTTTAGACAGTACTTTAATACTCCAGAAGGTTCCGTGCAATGGCAAGAACAATGTATAAACCGGGGAATAATATAATTAATAATTTATGTTGGATGTTTCTCAATACAAATATGTGTACTTACGTGTTCTTTGTACAGTTTCGGCTATACATTTCCAGATGTTTTCCCGTACTACCTGATTTTTATAGTCCTTATTTCCTGTGTCATACAAAGCAGGACAGTTTCCAACACATTCAACAAGTTTTTCGTCTTCTGTCGTGTGAAAACTCAGCTTGGAAGTCATGGTACTTATTCACTGACAGTGACAACTGACAGTGACAACTGACGTGACGCGCGTCTAGTCTGTTTGGAAGCAGGCGATTGAGAATCGCATGCGTCCACCGCATCTCGGTACGTCTAATCGCAATTGTTGGAAATCTAACGCATTTATAACCACTAAAAGCAGTTCTGATGCGTCTAGTCGGATGCGTCAATCGCAATCGCGGACGCTGCTAAGAAATTCCACCTTTAGACAGACCCCAAATATGTTTACACGTCGGTGGACAAAATTTTGAACAGTTGTTGTAACATCAGGTATGTCAAATTATTTTATTATTTAAAACCACAAATTAATTTTATTAATTAATAATAACACTAGCAGCAAAATCAGTTGAATTTGCTGATATAAAATAGGCGGTATAAAATTCTATTTATTCCTTTCCTTGCGAAATTCTTTCAAGTTTTTGTTCGTTTTTAACACTACCGCCGTGACGTTCGCATTGTACCAGGTCAGGTTTTACAGTGGACCAGTTTCCAGCGCCGTGCAGACGTGTATTTTTTAAATCATTTTTGAACTGCCCTTTTTGATTTTTTCTGTATAAAATTGTATTTGTAAGGGTCCCCTGTACATCCAGAATTTTTTTTTGATAAGTTCTGAATCACCCTGTACATATATATGATAGGGAATCATTTGTATACATCGCTTAAAATTGAATTTGCATCGTAAGCAATAGTAAAATTAACATTTCTACGAATCAAGGGTGAAAATTAATTTTTAAAATTAAACCTGCTTCTCACAAAACATATTTAAAATTGTTTTTTAAAGAATTTATTCCTTGTACCACTTATCTAATTAGATAAGTGGTACAAATGAAAATGTTGGTGAGAAATACCTCAAGAAAAAAGAAATTATGCAAATTTAAAAACTAATTAATATAGATGATTTTTGAACTCAATTTTCAACTGTCAGACCAGAAATTTTATAACTTCATCTTTTCGAAGTAATATTTATTTTCAAAACATTTTTTGCGACTGTATCTCCACTTATATTAAAACATTAGTTTTTTTACTTAATGTAATCAAAAATATTAAGTGAGATTAACAATATTGCACACTCAATGGCCACTACTGGCCTCAATGCCTAGACCTTCAAACAACCAAACTGGCAAAGACCAACCTGCTATTTAGCAGGTACTATGAAAACAATTATTATATATAACATATTATTGCCACTAGACGAACAGCTAATATCTAGTCGACAGCGGTTAAAAATATTAATCGTATTTACTTATAATGTTATAAAACAAATATTTATGCCTCTGTAAATAACAAATTATTATTGTCAAACTAAAAATTGCTACAAAGTTAATCTTACTGCAGTATTATATTACTTTTTTGGTATATTGTTACATAAAAAGAAATTTATGTTGTTTTATATGCAACCATTTAAGAACATTATTGTATCATGGTACTACCTATTATGAACCTTGAAATATTTAAAGAAATGTTTTGGCATACAATGCAAAAGTGTTTATTTGAAGTATGATTTTATTCAAATGAGTTTTGTTTTAGGTACATAATAAAGATGAAGACATTCTAAAGATAATTATATCTAGGTCGCATAAGGGGCAGATAGAAGAAGTTTTGCATAAGAATTTTAATAACAAAATTCAGTTGGTTATTGCTGCAGGTGCAGGTAAAATTATATTTAAACAATGTACACTACCTATACTGCCCTGTTAACTCTAAATATGACTGAAATACTATGTAAGGTTTTATTCAGAATTATATATGTGGTTTTTTTGGTAATCCCACCTATCAGCTCTTTTAATTTGATTCATCCTCGTTAATTTGAACTGATCAAGAGCTTTGTAGGATGATTTATCGTTGAGTTAGTGTCATTCAAAATAAAAATGTCCTTTTTGTCTGAATTAAAGGATAAATTTTGCATCCTTTATTAATTTTTTTAATTGAAAATGTTATTTTCGCAAAAACTCATATATTATTTTCATAAAAAATTGTTCGATATCGAAAACTATTAAAAAAATTTATTTTTTTAAACCAAAATTTTTTTTTTATAATATTCACAATACTATAAAATTGTCTTTTTTTCACTGCATTTTCCATGTGTGGAAAATGTTAATTTAAAAATTATTGCAAAAAGTTGTGTACGCCTCAATAAGTCACTGCATTTTCTTGCAAATCTCGAATACTTATGAGTTCCCTAGCGCGCAAATCATTTCCACGAAAATAGTTTTTTTTCAAAACCCAAATATCTTTTCTGTATATTTGTAAAAAAATATCTTAAAAAAAAAGAATTTATTCAAAAAATGTATTGTTTTCTTTTTTTTATATTTAACATTTTTTTGATGAAGAAAAAATAGATATGCATTTGCGAAAAAAGTTTTCTACTTAAAAAGATGAATAAAGGGTACAAAATTTATTCTTTAATTGATTTTTAGTAATCATTTGGATCACAATGAAAAAAAATCGCTGTAGTTTGAAGAGTTTCTTTGGAATACTTTGAGGTTAAAAGAAAAGCAAAAATATCCTTAGTCTATTAATTATTTGTACTGTTACTTCAAGTTTAGTAAAAGTCATAAATATTTTTCCTCCATTGAAACATTTTTATATCAAAAAATTATAAGAAAATGATATTTTCTGTACGATCATTAGTTTCAAAGCAAAAAAGTAATTTTTGCTTTGAACGACAATAACTTGGAGACAAATAAATCGTACAAAGCTCTCAAACAACTCAAATTAAAGAGGAATCAATCAAACTAAAAGCACTGATGAGTGGGATTGCCCAAAAATATTATTGAAGCCTGTGGGCCTTTTGAAAGGATACAAATTTAGAATTTTTTGTTATCCTTTAATTTTGTGACTAGTGTATAAACAGACAATTTAGTTGACAATAGTATGTAAGATACAAAATTAGTAATTTCACATTTACATATATGAATCATGTTTATTGTCAAAATAAATGTTTGAAAAAGCAAAACGTCTGTTCTCCATTTTGCAGTATGTGATGCTGATATAATATATACAGGGTGTCCCGTTCGTGTTTCAAAAAAACTTGGGTGCAAGTCTCTCATGGGAAAATAATGGGGGTAGTTCATGTAACAATTTTTTCTTAGACGCCCTGTTTTCGATATACAGTGTGTTGTAGTTTGTTACTTTCTAAATGGTTTTCCTTAATTATCTTTAAATCGGCTAAAGATAAAAATGTAAAAATTTGTACACCAGCAAACATCAACTGTGCGTTAAGAATAACTTTCTGAAAAGCAGTGTCGTCGATACAGGTAATTGAAGGGGTACAATCGAAGAAAAAATATGTTAAAAGTCAAAATTTATTACATTTCTAAAAGGTTCTGTAAACTCTAAATGATACTACAAAAAAAAGGTATACTTCTCGAAATTCGGTAGCATATACCATTTTCGAGAAAAATGAAGTTGAATTTTTTTTGCTCACATAAAGCTACATTAACAAAATATTAAATTGAAAGAGGACCTTATGATTGAGTGAACTGAAGACATTTAGCTACCAACAGCATTTGCATTTAAGACTATAATTTTAATTTCTTACGTATCACATAAAACAGTTAAATTGTAAAACATTTTATTAACTAAAAAAAAAATTTAAATTTATTTTAAGTTTCTGTTTACTGTAAACTATCATTTAAAAATGTAAATCAGAATAAACTGATTGTGGTAATTAACTATCTATTATTAACTACTTAATTTTAGATTTTGTAAACTACTACACTACCATTACTAAAATAAACAATTGCTGAATGGACTGAATTGTTGGACATGAATGCTTTAAAAAAGTGATAAAAGCAGAAACAGATATTAGGAAACAGACTCGGAGACATACAGAACAATTGCTGTGCAATTAAATAAATATGCAAACTCGAAATACTAGAGTAGATACTGAAATTGTCCCCCATTTCGTTCTATGCAACTTCATTTTTCTCGAAAATGGTACATGCTACCGAATTTCAATAAGTATACCTTTTTTTTGTAGTATGCTTTAGAGTTTACAGAACCGTTTAGAAATGTAATAAATTTTGACTTTTAACATATTTTTTTTCCATTGTACCCCTCCAGTTACCTGTATCGGCGACGCTGCTTTTCAAAAAGAAACCGTTTGCACCTTATTTTTAACGCACAGTTGATGTTTGCTGGTGTACAAATTTTGACATTTTTATCTTTAGCCGATTTAAAGACAATTAAGGAAAACCATTTGGAAAGTAACAACTTCAACACACTGTTTCTCGAAAACAAGACGTCTAAGAAAAAAACTTTACATGAACTACCCCTATTATTTTTAAATGAGGAACTTGCACACAAGTTTTTTTGAAACATGAACGGGACACCCTGTATAACCAGATTTTTAATAAATAAAATATTTTCTCAAAAATCACTTAATAAGTAGTTTGTCAACTGGATCATCGCAACTGGTTCAGTATATTTAGACTACAGTATACTAATCAAAGTTTACTGTGATTTAGACAATATATGTAAAAGAAAAAAATCGTTTACTTAGTGGGCCAGTGTATTAAAATATTTATTTTTCAAAAAATTTAATTTTCTATGTAGGTAGACTTATGAATTTAATTTTAATTTGATAAATTCCATTTTTTAAAATTCATAGTGCTGTTAGGTCTACGAAAAATTAACGTTTTGTGCAACTCATTTGTAATTTCAGGGGAGGCTACACCCCTGTTACAATTATTTATTTCATAAATTTCATCTAAATTTTTTCGCCATTAAAACCTCTATGTGAGCATAGAAATTATTCTTTAAAATAAAAGGCACAGGTTCCACACTTCAGTATCAAAATATAAGGGTTAAATTTTCACCAACCTATACTGATTGAAACTCTTTTTCATTTAACACATAAGTTGGGTTGTTTTTTTAATCATGATTACAAAATTCTACCAATAAGATGAAAGGAATACCTAGGGTGTTCTATTTAAAAAAATTAAATTACACCTAATGATAAAAAGTCAATACTCTGAAATAATAGGAAAAAGTAAAAGTAGAATCCTTATTAATTTTATTTTGCATTTATTATTTTTTCTTATAGCTCATTCTGCATATTTTTATATATTCTATTAGAATGCTTTCTGGGGGCAGTTATATAAGATTTGAGGGCCTATCTCCTCTATTTCTAATATAAATGAGATATAGCTACAAAAGTGTGCCCTAATAGTAATTGTTAGATTTAGTATTAAACTTTACATTACATACATATACTCTAGACCTACCTAAAATATTGGTATACGATATACTTTTAAAATCTGAGTTACTCTGAGGCAGTTTACCTCCAAAATATCATATAAGATAAATTATGAAAATTAAATTTTTGTCATTTTTTGAAGAGTAGAAAATAAACAAATAGGTATATGAAATATTGAAAATATCTTCTAAACCCCTCCTTAGGAATTGACTGAATTTATCTTATAGTTATGGCTTTTTTTTATCCAGGTGTATAATTAATTTTTTACTGAATTCACATCTCTATATTTTAGGATACAAAGCTTTAGAAGTTGCTAAAGGAAACGTTGACGCTTACCTACACATAACAGCAATAAAAAAATGGGACATATGTGCTGGAAATGCAATAATAAATGCTCTTGGTGGAAAAATGACAACAAAATATAATGAAGAAATTGATTATTCAAACGGTGATAATGTGAAAATTGAGAATGGTCTTATTGCTACTATGAGGAATCATAACCTGTTTTTAGAAAAATTATAGATTATTACTATTTATTTTTATTTCCTTCTACGGTCAGAGGAGTTATATCTCATGTAGAAATTATTTAGGAACCAGATATAAATTTATGGGAAATAGGTACTGTATCAAATTCTTATTTTGAGAGTAAAAATTCGTACAAGACTTAAGTGGAGGATAAGAATTATTGGTAATACTCTCCACTGCTCAGAACTTTAGTGTCGTTAAATGTAAAATGTGCATTTATTATTTATTGTAATTTATTACGATAATATAAAAGCCTTAACTGCCTCTACTTGTGGAATAATAATATAATATCTCTACCCATTTCAATTGCATGGATTAGCCCAGAAGTCGGAGACTTGTGCGGGAGACGTTCCTATCATTCAGTGTAGAGTGAAGGAAACCTGGAAAACCTCACTGATTAGGGGGATAGTCAAACGCCGACCAGTATCAATCTCTTACATTGACCCAAGCTAATGTTCTTTCACCCTTTCATATCCGCTGAGAGAGTGCGAAATCATATCTATGAATATAGCTGATATATGGTCATGGGGATCCGACCCCGGACAATGGAATTCATCGAATAAAGTATTGACACCTCGAACTGCTTGGCCACCAATGGAATACCCGGATAAATAATTCTCCTATAATAGGTGTGTGTATCATGAATGTATGGAAAAATCATGGTAAAGACCCTTGGTAATAAAATTTTTATATACGAAGTCAGAAAGTAAAATAGCAGAAAATGTCAAATCTGTTTTTCCCCAAAATCAACTTAATTTTAAAGTGCATTAAGTTTGTTTTGTTTCTATTTGAAGTATTTTGTTTTTATTATATTATGAAAAATGTTTCTACAGAGCATAAACTGTATACTGTTGAGGATTGATGAAAGAAATAAGTTTATAATAGATATTGGTGATTTTGGAAACAAGAAAATACTGCTGTATCTTAAAAAATTAAACATTAATTTTATGACCATCATGAAAAATATGAAAATATATAGAATTTCATCGGAACCACGTAAAGAATCATTATTTTGTGTAGAACTGATTTTCTAAACATTTTTTATGCTACAAAAGATTGATCAATGTTTAAAATTTGCAATATGTGGTCACTTTACATTAAAAAAAATATAGAATAAAAGATTTCTTATGCTTAGGCGGTAGTTTACCGATCAACCCAAAAGTAGGATTTTCGTGTTCATAAATAAAATATGGAAATATGTAGATGTCATTTATATTTATGAGTATATTTATCACAGAACTACAATTACAACACTTTCATATGTTATTGTTTACTGTCAAGATGTACCATCTTTACGTCCAGAAGTTGAACCGTGTTGAACATAAGATGTATATATATCATATCCAAGTGACACAGTATTATCAAATAGTACTCTGAATTTTAAAGGTAAAAGATAAAAATTTATGAATTGAGCAGGTGGCCAAATTATCCATTCTGCCATATACAATTTCCAGGCTTTATTTCTTAGATCTTGGATAAATTTGTCTTTTGTTGACCTTTCTAACATATTAATGGTTACAATGAAGGTTGAAATAAAAACTGGAGATCCGATAAATTGATCGACAAGTATTTTCTTTAATACAACTTTTATAGAATAACCAGGTATAAACTTATCCAAATAATAGTACCAATAGTGACACACGACCCCTACGGTTGCTCCAGAAAAAGACATGTTTTTCGTTCGCGTTTTATCCCATTTATCTATTTGGTTGGTGACTATTTCCAAGTTTTGTTCCAATACATCCCCCAGTCCAGATAATACTAATGATATTCCTACATTGGTAACTAGTAAATATTTTTCACTAAAAGCTGTGTTAACAACTCGAGTACATTTTGTTAACACGGATGTTTTAATTAACTTAGTAATAATTCTTAAATTATTCAACATTTCCCCAAGAGAATATGACGATAACATGGGCACTTAACCAGAAACAAAAGTACTAAAAGTGGGGTTATATTATATTCCTGGATTATAATGAAGATAGATATAAGTCATATGAGTAACTAAATTTAAGAATGCTATGATAGTATTTAATTTTGAAAACATGTTTCATGCCATCTATTAGTGTATAGTAATAGCTCTGGCTAATTGGTACTACCAAAGCCATCAACCGGGGTCACGC